GTGGGCATGTGTACGTGTTCACATGGAGTCTTTTTTCAGCCGGTCCCTGAGAACTCACCAGTGTTGTGGATAAGACCTGCCTTTAGAGTGACCTTCTCAACCCAGCATGATCCAGCTCACAGAGCATGCACTGGCTACATCAGGACACTCCCAAATTAGCTTTCACAACAACTTTCTCAAGGGAAAAAATATGGTCCAGGTCAGTGATGGTATTAAGGAGAGTAACTGCTACTGGTAGTAAAGGAGGTGGGGACCTCAGGAAGAATTAGGCAACCTAAAAGAATTTTCAGATCTGCATTTTTTTGCTGATATATTTCAGGCAACCATTTTCATACATTAATCTACAAGCCTTTATTTGAGTTTCATAGATTTGTGTTGATTTGCTTTGTGTTTTCATTGATATTTAATTGCCTAGGGAACTGTTTCTGAAGCTGGGCTTATTTGTATTTAGTATTGAAATAATACCATCCCAGTAAGTGTAAATGGCACTGTAGAGATGAGTTGAAACAGCAGGTCTTTGCTCTAAAAAGCTTAAAAATAACAAGCTAGCTCCACATTACTGCACTGACCTGATGGGGGCAGATTTTGGCCTTAGATTAGACAAAACACAGTTCAAAACAAACAAATGTACAGGAAGTTCAAAAAACAAATGTACAGGAAGGACTGAAGCAGTTCCCAGTCACCTTTCAAATTCATATCTGTTGAGTAGAAGACTTCTTGTTCTAAGTTACTATGCAACATAACATAAAGCTTGGTCTTTGCCTATTATTTTTAGTGGATGATGGGAAAAGTGAGACTAGCAAACATCATGCAACCTGACAACACAAATAAGCCCCTGAGAAAACCAAAGCTGGCAAACAAACAGCCCATGTACAGCATAAACACAAATTCTTCAGAAAAATGCAGGTTTTTTAAGGACAGGGTTTTTAACACTCTGAACTCACAGACATACTTTCATTTCTTGTGGGTTAGAAAATTTTGCAGAAAGTCTCTGGCATAGCCCATTAATGGCTTTGGAAGAAGCAGACTTGTACTAGAGACATCATAAAGCCAAACAGCAGAAGCTCAGATGATTCATAATTTCACAGCAACAACCAAAATCAGATTTCAAGAATATAAATCACTGGGGTTTTTATTTACTATTATTTCTAATAACATTTATTAGAAATAATGTTCCCTATTAAAGGATAATGGAATTCACAGACTGCGACAAGGATGAAGTTACAAATCTTTTCAAAACCACTCATGCAAAATCTGCACAAGTTCAGTGATGGTTAATGATTCAGGAGGATCCCCAAAGGAGCATGCCAGAATTCTCCTGCACAAGACAGTAGAAAGTGGGACTGCAGAGCTGAAAGCTGTAGGAAAACAGAAGCCGAGTTGTCCTCTGTGTGTGAGGACTGGCGTTACAGAAATACCATGTTTCCTTTATTCTTTCAGGTCCCAATTCCCATGTCAAGTCTTGTCGTGGTCAGGGCAGGATCTGAGAGTTAAAGTCAGTAAGTCACCCTTTTGTTTGACTTTTTATTTTCAGGCTGCTGTGAAAGGGTGTGATTTAGAGCAAGGAGGTTTGGATATGGTTCAGACTACCTTTTGCTAAAACTTTCAATAATGGTGGAACAGCCTCACTAGAAATGACATCACAAGTTTTTTGTAAGTATTATTAAATGCCAAAGGATGAGAATTTTAGCCATAAAAACACTTGATGTTTGAACTGAGATTCTCTCCCAAGCTGTTGCATGTAACTAAAACCAACGGATGGCCTTTACAAGGGGGGAAGCAATTTAAGACCTTAAAATGTCATTTTAGTTGTGAGACATTTCTGTCTGGCCCCCTATGCAATACACCATTTGCACTTCCCGTATTATAATAAAAATCATGTATATTGAGGTATTTAATAGGCAATCATATAGGAGAAAATATTTACTCCAGTAGCTGACTGGCAGCTTTCTCAGCAAGTTTCACAGACACAGAAATGGAGAGGAATGAAAGAGAGCATTTTGCTTTCATGTAAAAGGTCATCAAATGTTCTGTTCAGTATCTCACTGGGAATTTATTCAGCATCCCCTTTTGTCCCTGAAACTATCATCTCCCAAACCAGGAGCTGCTGAAGACACAGCTGATAAAATGTCAGCCAGGGACTCCTGCATGGCACGGCCAAGCAGAAACTAGAGTGAGACACACACACCATCAGCTAGAATCTGGACAGGGGATAGACTGAGAACTCAGAAAGTTTAGAGATTAAAAATATGCCAAGATTTCATTGTCCTTCTATCCCACCAGAGCAAACAGTTCTGAATTTGGCCACCAAACTTTGCCTGCTCAGTCACTTTGTCCATGTTGACCTGTTTTCCATGATTTGCCCACTGTCGAACTTCCCTGCTCACACAGACAAGTCCTACAAGACCGACTTTTGCTTTCCCTGACCCTAATGAGCAGAAATGCTCTGGCTATGACTAAGCCTTGTATTTCACATACAGGAAATGCATCTCCCACATCCTTGCAGCTGCCTGTGCATCTGTGCAGGACTTTACCATTACAGGCAAGCATTTCTTGCAAGAAGAACTCAGTTGAGGAACAAATAACACTGCATGCATGATGCTGGTTTTGGCATTTGGTAACCAAGGAGAATTGTTAGCACGCTGTATGTATTGCATGCTTTCAGAGTCAGATGAGATGCTTTTGTGTGCCTGATCCTTCATACAAGCAAAGCGCAGGACAGTGTAACCAGGCACTACTTTAATTCCCAGGTCCCAAATTGCATGTCTGAGCGCTTCTGGACCTTTTCCAGAATTCAAATGCAAATCTAAATTGTAGCTTTTGCTCCTAACTTCCCACCAGGCCACAGTAAAAGGATCTGAACAACGTAAAACCTTAGTACATCCAGGTATGCTTCATCTATCCTGGCACTACAGAATTAGCGCAACAGGATTCACTGTACGTCTGAGTGAGACTTCAGAAGATTTGCTCACATGTGGCACTCGAGGCTGAACTTCATCCCAGGTCTGCCCCAAACCAGGAGCCACAGGAGGGCTAAAGGACTCCCATGCTTGAACAGACCTGCATCTTGCTGGTGTCTGCCTGCTGGTGGCCTGAGGAGGACGGGATCTGAGGATGGCCACAAGCTGACGTCTGTGTCATTGTGAAGCCGAGCACAGGGCTGCGTGGCACAAAAGGCTCCAGAAGCACGGCAGCTCCTGAGTCAGATGAAACCTTCCCTGGGGACTGGGCCAACTGCCCTGCCTCCAGTAAGCTAAAGCCAGAGTGCAGCCCTGCACCTTAAGAGATTCATTGGTGAACTAAGCAGAATTCAATTTATGTTGGATCTTATTGAGTTAAAGGAATCCCAAATGACCAAATTTTTCAAACATTGGTTTTTCATCCTTAATTTTCAGACAGGTAACGAAATTAGAAGGATGATACGATATTTCAAGAGAAGCGAACCAGCAGACAGAACATACTAAGAACTTCTTTCCTCCTCTGCACTAGTGGAATTTGGCTCACTCCTGCAAATCATGCAGAGTCAATTAGATATGCAAATATGCCTACTCAAAATTTGCATTTGCATTGCCATGCTTCTATTCATAGCCATGGCAATCATGTATTCTGGTGACCACTTAGATTTTGAGTTGGCTCATTGTGCATAAAATCTCAGAAACTATCACAGAAAATGAAGCGTGCATTTTTGTGTATGTAGACATGGGCATGCAATTCCAAAAGTCTGTGTCTGTATGACCTGCGAGTGTCTGTATGTTTGACTAGCTTGTAAGACTCAGTATGTCTCTGCCATCTACATCCATGCTTACATCCATAAGCCTACAGTTTGAATTGCAGGAATATTTAGGATTTTGTGAAAGCGCAGGGAAAGCATTGCTGGTGCAATCATGTGTATCTCATTTCCAGCATGCAAAATCTTCTGTCTGCAATGGCAAACACAGTAGCTCACAGGCTGAGGCTACAAAAATCTGTTTTTCAATTCCCATTAATTATTTTGCAGCCTTTTCTTGGAGTATTTACTGTGAAGTCTAGGGACATTTGTATTTCTTATATCCATACATCCAGACACCACAAAAGATTTTTAAAAAATGCCCACAGTTTGTTACATTTCACTTTAGTCTAGAAATGCAGAGCGCTCATGTTTAGATTTTATCAAGAAAAAAGATAGCAAATGTCAAACAAAGATAGTACCTGAAAGGAAATAAAAGAAATAATTCAAAATTGTTTAAAAAGTTACAAAATATGACAGCATTAATGGCACTTAAAGCTATAAGCACTTAAAAGATTACCACCATATTTTTCTCAACTTCCTTTCCTAAATTTCTTTTTTCCTTTTTTTTCTGAGATTATGACTGCAGCTTATGTCTAAACCCAAACCCAGCAAAAGGGGCAGAGAGCCCTGAGATTCTATGGTTGCCCTGGCCCTCATTTGAATAGCGTATATGCTCTTATGTCTGTTTTTAAAAATTCAGGTTCAGCTACAGAGAACAGCAGTTTGCTGACATGCAAAAGCTATAGCTTTCCTTCTGTCTTCATAGTCTTACAGCATTAAAATTGAAGTTTTTTTTTTCAGTGTTAGAAAGTGTGAATGAGAAATTCTTTTAAAAAAAATGGTTGGCCCACTGTTTTATATACCTAGCCAAATATCATTAAATTAATGTTTCTCTTCTTTTAAACAACATAGCAGGAGATGTTGCATTTTCTTCATATGCACTTTCTTGCTGTGACTTTACATTGAATATTTCCTACATGAGAAAAAAAAAACATTTGTTTCTTTTCCTTTTTTTTTGTCACTGGTTAAGATAAATACCCACAGAGTTTTTTTCTTTTTTTTTTTTTTTTTTTAATGAAAAGAGCAATCCGACCCTTAAATATGTCTGTGTTGATTTTTCAAACCAGATGGTGGCTGTGTCCATGGACATTCTTTTGGAGTTTAGAAAGATAATGCATCTGATTCAAAAATGGAAAAAAAAAAAATCTAGCTTGGATCACGTGCCAAAACGTAAACTAAGCCTTACTGAAAGTTTCTAGTTCACTCCAATCTTTTCTCCTCTTTTTAATCACCAGGGGAAGGCTTTATGGATGCATATTCCATTACAAAGATACACTCTTTTTCATCCCTTTCAAGATCTTCTTACGTAGCTGCCCTTTGTCTAATATTATGCCATGGTAGGAGCACTCTGGTGATATTGCCATGGTTCAATCTCTTCCTTTGTGTCTTGCCCTGGTAATCTTATACAGGCTGAAATTTCCATGTGTGTAGCTTTCTGTTGCCATTCTGCAGTGCTGTGTTCCTGATTTGTTTTGGCAGAGCAAGCTTGAGTCTTTATGGCACAGTGAAATATTCTTCGATGCTATATAATTCAGACTGAATAAGGAGTCTGTATAAGGCACGTGTCTCAATATATATATGTATATAAAAACACTAACATTGTTAATTCAAGTCAAGCATCTTTTACATTTAATTTCTGTCTTCAAGTAATGCTTTGTTTTCATGTTCCCTTTCTTTGGTTTCATTGGGGATCACTCCATTTTCCAGGTTCGAGTGCTGCTGGATGCAGTTGGTCAGGACTGCAGTGCTAGAAGAGTTCTCAGAATTACACATCTTCTCTGTCTCCTCTTCCTTTTTTTCTTCATCCAAGGAGTAGTTTCGGAAGGTCTCATAAATTTTACGCACATCCTCAGGGATGGTCTTTTTGAGGTCTTTGTTTTTCCTTTTGGTCATCTTAGCAGACGATCCAAACTTGTTAATGATGTTGTCCTCGGATGCCCCCTGCCCATGCTTGTTGAGCTGATCTGACCCTTTAAGGCGCAGGTTGTTAGGCCTGTTGTTGATGCTTTCCTGAGATGAGGCCTTGAAGCGTCCTGTTTCCAAGGCAGTAAAGACAGAGCGCTTCTCTGGAGAGAGCATGTCTAAGGAGTGGGCTCGCTGGTCCAGGCCCAGGCGCCTGCGCTCCATGCTCCGGATGGTGGCTGCCCGCTGAAGTTTGTCATGGATCTCCACGCTGAGCCTCCTCCGTGTCTCTCTGAACTCAGCCGTCACGTTCGCTTTCCACTCCGCCGCATGGGCTTTTATTTCTCCAACCTTCACAACAACAAGAAAGAGAAATGAATAAAAAAAAAAAGAAAAAGCAACATGAAGTGACAGTCTTTCCTATGGAACAGCAGCACAAGCACTTTGTTCTCTGGCATAAAATCAGAGACCAGTCTCAGCTCCAGTGCATCTATCTGGACCCAAACTTCAGCAGCAAAGTGGTTATACTAGGCAAGCTCTAAATACACCACTAGTGGCTAGCTAATGGTTTATGTGGCATATAACTTGTCTGCCTGTTTCACATTTTGCCACCCCACACATTTTATAGCTGTGTTACATGATGGGAGGTGTTCATGCTAATCCCTCCTTGGTTAAGAGCAAAATTCCTGACTTATAATGTCAGCAGTAGATGGTCAGGAGTGGGCTAAATTAATCACATATAGTTATACCAATATGCTTCAGAACAGCACAACAACCAATGTAGCAATATAGTAATGTATTTTCCTGTATTACTCATGGATAGAGCTGTTCAGTCCCACTGAAGGTTCTGTTCAGTGCCACAGAGCCACAGAGCAATTAACGTTGGAAATACCTATTAGATAATTTCAAGTGGACCTCTGACTGATCCAGTCCAAGGTTCATTCTCAGGGGCAAATGTAGCTGCCTTTAATGGAGGTTTCCATTGCATAACTGTCCAAATACCACCCTCTCAAGCCAGCTGGAGGAGTTTTCAACACATATTCTGTGTGGGCACCATAAGCATGTCCAAATGTCTCACTGTTTTGTTCTGTTTTACTCCTTTGCACCTGAGAGCAGAATCATGGCTAAGAATAAAGCACCTACGTGGCTGCTGTATTGAATAAATATTTCTTCCGAAATGAGAAAAAAGAAGATAAAAGACCAAGCAATATCTCAGTCAACACAGGTCTTTTCCAAAGTTCAGTTAAAGGAGAACAGATTCAGGAGTACAATGTCTGCAGGAGCCCACCAAGGTCAATGGTTTGCTTGGGCTGCTGTAGCCAGAACTCAGTTTCTGCATTCAGTGATCCACAAGGAAGTCATCTTTGGTTCTTCAGGCCCGATGAGCAGGTGTCCACTTAGAACTGTATTACTTGTGGCTGCAGGCATCTCGCATCCACCATGAGAGATCAGATTGCCACCTGTAGGTGCCTGCTGATGATCAGCCTGACAGCCATACTCTCTGTGAAACCTCCTTTATTAATGAAGATGCACAGGGGATGCACCAGGCCTCAGGTTGTGCAGATGCCTTCACAAGTGACAAACAGCACTACCCCTCTGCCAGACTTTGTCTATGCCTGCTCTTTGGCTAACCCTGCCAGGTTAGCTTTGCTAGTAATGCAGGAGTAGATTGCCTTAAAAATTGAAATTATATTATTAACATCCTCCAGAATAGGCTTCAGCTCTAAAGTCATGGCAGTTGCCTTCTATTTTCCACCCTTATTTGAGTGAAGCATTAGCAATACTGATTTGAATCACAGAGGGCATGTTCTGAGTGAATTTAATCATGTTCTCCCTGATGCTCACTACTCAGTTTCTTCAATTTTTAATAATATGGTACTCAGTAAGGGGCCTGAATCTAAACCTTTATTCAGAACCATATTCCCTGGCATAGAGAAAGGTGGGAAAACTCTATATAAAACCCTGGTTTAAAGGCACATTCCTGTTTCATAATGAAGAGAGCCAACTAATGTCTTCAAAACCCACGCATCTCCAATTTTTAAAGAGAGAACACTGAAATTTTTATCACAATGTTGTAGCTAGTTTCAGAGTGAAGGCTGGCCTCTCTTATTCCATAATTGCAATCCTACTGATGTGTTCAGTGTATTTGGTAGTACTGATAGAGGTTAACAACCTAGGTTGCTTCAATTGCTTTTTTTTCTCCCTTTGTGAAGGAGCTAAAGATCAGAGATAACTGGATACCAAAGGCAGCCAGTGGAGTAAACCATGGGGAATATTGAGCATTGGTCATGCAGAGGAGCATCCTTCTTTAAACAAGCAGGAATCGGGCACTTAAATAACTCTTACAAAATGACAAACCACTGAGAAATTACTAGTCATACCTCTTCTTTTGTCTTCTTGGACAGGACTCTTAACCAGTCTCCAATCATACTCAGGACAGCAGCAAAATAGGCAAGGCCAACAAGGATCCAGAACCACACTAAAGGTTTATACCACTCCCGGTAATGGATGTCAGCATTTCCTCCTGAAATAAGCATATACTTATGCATAGGAATCATGAGATGCCAAAACTATGACAAAATATTTGCAATTCTGAGAAATTCCTGAAAGTATTTCTTGACTCTTGCCAACACCACTGTAGTTCTAATTATAGACAAGAGGCCTGTCAGATGGGAGGAACACAGTCTGTTCTTAATTTAAGACTCTTCAAAATTACCTATTGCTCTGCTGCTATGTGACCTGCCAGAGCATCTAGTAAACACTTTTCTTTATATTGCTCATACTCTGAAGCAAGTCCAAAATTCCTGCTTTGATAGTATTTGCAACAGCATGAACACATTTCCAAGAAAAAAGTTTAACACAGCTAATCTTCCTTATTCTGAACTGCCTGCAGCCTGGTAGTTGAGAAACTTTACAGTTCAACCCCCTCAGGTTATAGAGTTTCCAGATTTTTTTGGTTTTAGCTACAGGATTGAGAGATCTATGTGCAGGAGAAAAAAAAGTAGCTTTGTCTTCCCCTCCAAATCAGGGGAAGCCAACAGGAAGGAAGGACAGGAAGCCAACTTATCATCAGCCCTGATAATAAGGATATACTGTCTACTTGGGTATCAGTTATAGGGGTGCATTCTCTGACCAGTGACTTGAGAGGAGATATGGATCAAATGAAGCAAGAAATATCCTATATGGTCTTCATGCAAGTCTCAGGATGAGCTGGTAAAACAGGTATGTGAGATATTTGGCAAATCTAATGGACTACGAAGAGTCTAAAATAAATGCAGCAGCAGCCTGGCTGCTGCCTACCACAGAATAGAATAAACTTTTCCGAAAGAAAGCAACCACAACCTCACTTTTGAGACTCCCAGTCCTATCACAGCACTATGTGCACTGCAAGAATGAGAGCCAGTGAGAGGCAGGCACAGCCCTAGCTGAAGAGAGCCAGGTGGCAAAGAGTCTGCACAGCCCCATGGGCACAGCCATATCTCTCAATGCAGGTGAACAAACACCACCTTGGTAGTACCTGTGTAAATCTCTGCCTGAAGAGCAAGCCTACCAGGGGACTCGGGCAGATGATTGCGTATTTCCGAGACTCCAGCCTTGGTTAGAAAAGAGCTAGACACCAACCTGTACCTCTGCATGACTACAGAGATATTTTAGGATTTTCCCTCATTAAAATCACCAGACAACACAGTTCAGCGTTTCCCTCTGAGCTTTTTGCAATCTGAGATATTCCCATGACTCTTCAATTTTATCCAGACTCAGTATGAGTGTATGTACGGTGTTCGAACATCCCCATGGAAGGTCAGACATTTGAGAAATGGCAGAGACCCAAATATTGGTTTTGATGTTAATCTCTCCCCATAGACTGCATGAATCACTCTCTTTTTTCCAGTGTTTAAGAGTGTGAAACAATGGAAGGTGGGGGCTACTGTTGCTATGGTACAACGAGCCTCTTCTGATCATACATGTCCCTGAGGAAGCTTGCTATGAAACAGATTGTCTAGGTCTACCTTACAGGGTAATCAGGCGACTGAGAAAGTATGAGACCACTTTTTTCAGCCTATCAGATATTCTGTTTTTTCAGGCTCCATCCACAATTGTATCTCCAACAGTAGTACAAAAACTTTCCCAGTCTGCCAAGAGCTGGGACACGTTCTAGGTGGAATAAATCAGCCCAGCTCCGTTGATGCTGTTTTACCCAATATGATGTAGTATTTTTGATTTGATTTTGAAGGGACAGAGATACTGAGAGATTAAAGTGGCAGAAAATAAAAGTGACAGAAAATCTGTCTCAAAACCAGCAATAAAACCCAAATCTCCTGGTGATCACCTGCCTTAAACTCTTATCATGAGATAGCCTCTGAAGTTTTCTCATGCAGGATCCTCCATTTGATTTTTGAAAAATCCTGGTTGTTAGTAGCCACCCAGCTGTGGATTATATTCTCCTAATCGTGTTGGATATAGAAGTATTTAATTTAATATTCACAGCTTTTTTACTATTATATTATTAAAGAAAACAATACCGAAGTGTGATATGCTTAAGAAAAATAATGTGAATTATATTTATTTCACACTGTGATACCACAAAGACAGAATATCAGTGAGCTTCTCTTCACATTTAAGTGGTTAAAATGAACCAAGCTCATACAATCACTTCTGTATGTGAATGCTCGTAAAACACTTCTTTATATCTAGTGCTCTCTTTATTCAGTGCCTTTTTTTCCTCAATAATTTGTCTTCTATACCACTATGTCATAAAAAAGGAGGATTAGAGTCTTCTCTACAAAAAGACTTGTCTGCAGCTCTTCAGCAAAGAAAACTTTATATATCCCTGTAGTTTCATTTGATGTTTTTAACTCATTCATGTTTCACTGATTTATAGGAAGTAACAAAACAGTAGCATAATATGGCCGTTTGTAACACAGGCATCTTAATGCCTTTAATTAGGATCACTAACAGGAATGAGAATTAGATGTCATGCACTAATGGGAAAAAAAATTCCACTTATTTCAACCACCTTTTCGTTAGCAAAGCAGTTGTGTGAAAAAAAAAAACATCTCTCCAGCCAACAATCTTGACTCCCTCTTTGGAAATTGATAAGGATGGATATTTATAGTTCCTGCTAGTACTGTATTAATCTTGGAGAGTATCCTTCTAGCACTGAGATGCATACCCCGTTAGTTCTTCTCTTCCTACATGAGTTTTCCTTAACAGGGCAACTGCAATGTCAAAATTTCTGCCACGGTTTGAGAAAAAAATGCAGTTTCTGAAATGCTGCAGCTCCTGTAGTAGCAGCCCACTACTGCATCCGACCAGAGATTTCTCCAGCCCTATGGCTCAGCCCTACTTTGTAAAAGCTTCATCCATTCATCATTTTGGCTACTTGCTTCTGCAATCAGCTTCAGATTGAGCCTTGAATTCAATGGGAAAGTCATTTGACTTGTGCATAATTCATTGCACATAAAGGGTAATCAGGACTTCCCAGGCTTCCGTTATCTACACTGCTGAAAGCTTGCAACCTGCAGATGGCAAGGCACATGGATCTTAAATCAACCTGGTGTCCTATTGCACAGTAACCCCAACAGAAACACCTGGCATCATTTCACTGGAATATAATACATTGTGAAAAGCCTCCTCTCTACACCAGAAAACAAATCCTAAGAGCCAAGGCCCTTGTGCACAGACCTAGGCTCGAAGCTGCTTACCTGCTACAAAGTCACCGAAGCCAACAGTAGTCAGAGTGACAACCACAAAGTAGATGGACTCCAAGGCTGTCCATCCCTCGATGTGTTTGAAGATAACTGCAGGAATGGTCACAAAGACAATGCAGCCTGCCAGGATGAAGAGGATGGTAGAGATCACACGAATCTTTGTTTGACTCACTTGCTTTTTCTAGAAAAAGGAAATAACAAAAAAAAAATATTTTTTAGTGGATTTCTGGGACTGTATACCTTGTGAATGGCCAACTGACTGTGCTGGTGTCACCTGGTATGTCTCTTTCTGCCTTTTGTAAGCTTATTAGGTGGAATACAGCCCTCCCTCCCCAGAGCCCTGCCCAGGTAATACTGAATCTCTATGTCTGGCCCCAGAAAATTGTGATTCCCATTTTCCATGCATTAGACAGCCACTAACCTACCAGAAACACAGCCTGGAAAAACAGTCCTGAGCTTCAGAAAGGCTACAGTACACTCCAGTTCAGGTTCAATGTGTAAGAAAAAGTGCATATTCACACCTCCATACATGTATATGTACACCCACATTGCCTCACCAGCACCAAGCATTCAACAAGCAAGTCCAAGACTAGAAACCTGAAATTTTATGTAGAAATAATTCATGCTTTGCGTTTTCTAGACTCAGGATTTCCAGCTTTCATTCACAAATATGAAGGTTAAATATCCTTTTCAAAAATAGATAGCTATATTACCGGTTTACTCCAGAAATAAAGAATTTATGTCAAATACCAAACAACCTGAGATAAAATTACCTACGTAAATCCACACTGGAAAGCCTTTGAACAAAGAGTACGTGCGTAACTGGCTGCTATAAACTGAATACAAATATGAGCAGTGTAATTGCAACATTTTACACTCCTAGACCATATAAACTCTCAATTTATTTAATATAAACTTAGTAATATTGATGCATGCCTGGATTAACACAACTGACCCTGACAGATTTATTTCAGATTTTCTCTACTGTAAATAAATTCAAAATTCAACAGAGTTTCACGAGAAACCTGGAAATTACTAGAAATCTTACTGTGGATTAATCACAGTGACAATGTAAATTCTGTATTTATCCCGGAAAAGGAATGTGGAGGTCACTGTAAGTCACATACTTCCAAATTAGTTTTCCAAATCAAGCATCTCCCTTAACCAGAAATGAGATCTCATTTCAGATTAGGACATTGCTTAGACAGGAAATAAGGTCTCAGAAGTTATCTTTATAATATACAGAAGGGATATTGCCTGAATGGTTAATTTCTAACCAGCTTATGAGCAGTACTACTGCTTCCACTAAAGCATGAACATTTCTTTTAGAGGTGCAATGTCAGACCCTCATTAGGCATTCATCTGATCTGGGATGCTCTGCATTTAGAACCCAGGTAGCAGCTTAAATATGCTATGTTTCATAAATACTTTTAGTTCTGAAAGTGTTTGAGATGATCCCTACACTTAATTTTTTTCTTTTTGTGTGTGCGCATTGTTTTCTGTGTCTGGCTGAACAGAAATAGTTAAATAGGATTAGTAATATAATACCGTAAATAAGATTAATCAAATACAAGACATGGAAAAAACTGCCACTGAAGTACTGAGAAAAACAACACAAGGATACAAAATCTGACCTGAATTCTTATTTCCTCTTTTTCTGGAGATTCGTTCTGAGCAATTTGCTAAAATACTAAAGGATGATCTAGCTTCTTTAAGAGGTATGGACACATATTCACAATGGCAGGATTTCAGACTTACTGTATGCGTGGTGAAGGGAAAGCAACTGATCACATGGATGTTTTACGTGGTGTCTTAGATTGGCACACTTGCTTTTTATCGTGGAGGATGAGGATTTAACTAAGTTGTTGTTTATTTACTAGTTTGGCCAAGGTGACTTGTTCACTTCTACTAAACGCTTCAGTTTCCTGATATGTAAAAATTAAATGGCAGACACCTTGCTACAGTGGAAGTTAGGAGGCACGTGCAGTGCTGTATAGTACTGGGAATCCTTGGACAAAAAGTACTTCGGAGGTGCCAAGCATTACTAGTAAAGCAAAGTTATGCACAGTAATCCTTCCTCCAGTCCCCATATAGCAACATTAAAATGCATTTCAATATGTGTCAGGATTGTCTTGTCTCATGGTAAAAACAGGAGTGGAAAGAATAGCCTGCAAATCAGTACCAAATATTCAGGACATCACTTGTTCATGAGTGATAAATTCAGCTGAAGGTGGTTTTTTTTAAAGCAAAAATGGTAGCAATGTTAGTGAGAGGATCTGCAGAAAGGCCTGACTCATGGTTACTGTACACCTCAGTCACTCGCACAAAAGTGGAGCAGCTGAGGGTCTATTTTTTTCTAACTCTTCCACTGGTACAAATGAAGTCAGAAGGCAATGGTGAATCAGGCACAGCATTTTTAGAGCTACTGACAAGCGTACAAAAGCAAGAGTCAGAAGTAGAATTACTTAATGGACAACACCACATGAAATTCAGGATACAAGTGAAAAGAAGGGTCTTTTTACAGTTAGACGTGCATTCAGAGGACATTCACAGTAGAGTATAACTGCTATAGATCCAAAAAATGCTAAGGCATAAATGTCATTATTCATGGAATATGTACATCGTAGTAATCACACATTACAAAAAGGTTGGTTTGCATGGGTTTTTTTGCAGATTAAGTTGGCCTTGCTATTTTACTACAAAGAACATAATTTTATGCTGCCCAGTTTCTCAGGAATAAGGAAACGCAGCCTTTACATTCCAGTTTTGGCATAGTTTTGTCAAGACGAGACTAGATTAGCCTAAGCCACTGCAGTATTACACTGTACCAACTTATTATTAAAAGAAATAAATATATATGTAACTCTCTCTCTATATATATATATAAACCACTAAAGATTGAGAAATCTGAAAAGGTTCGTACAAACTTCTATTTTAAATAGTATTTGCCATCTGGAGCCAAACACTGGCAAATAGCTGAGCAACTCCAGCCAGTCTAACACATCCTCCGAGCCCATTTTGTGGCATAAATACAGAATTTTCTATAGATGTCAAAATGAAACAGTAAGAGAGGCCTTTCTCCAGGAAAAGTAGTTCATCTCATAGCGGTTTAAGTAAAATGAAAACACTTCTAAAAGAGATGTTTTCTACTTTTTTTTTTTTTTAGTTTTGTTTTACCAACAAGTCCTCTCCACTTCAATGAAGCAGATAATTTGTAAGACATTCATCAAATATAAATAAATTAGTGCCTGCTAATGAGAGAGACTTCAATTTAAATCCACCTAGAGCTAATTTGGAAAAGATTAAAGGAGGGATCTAAGAAGAAAAAAACAGAGAGTTTTCTGTGATATAACCACCTATGAGGGGTCATTTCCATTCCATCATCATACTAATGAGGGTGCTGATTTTACTCTTAAGGTGGCTAAGTGCTAACCAGGCAACATCACTGACATCATCTTGCTCATATTAATTCAAACAACCTACTGTCAACCTGTTCTAGTGCCAAGAGGGGTGAGGACAGACATTCTCATGAAAATACCCTCATCAGTGTAATTTAGTTCTTATGCATCTTTTCCATCAACAATTGTGACCTTGCTTTTTCCTTATTTTCTGTTACATACATCTTATCGGTTTTGGTCTTACCCAATAATTTCAGGAGTTAAAAGAACTCCCTTTTTTTTTTTTCCTTTTCTCTCTCTCTGGTCCTACAGATCAAAGCTGATGATCTGGATTCCTTTACAGCTCCTGCCCTTTTCAGGTGAATTAACTCAGGCACAATTTTTCTGACCTGACTGTTGACAACAAAAGGACCAAACAAGGTTCTTAAGGTCCCAAGCTGAGACCACAGGGACGATACATATTCCTTTGAAAAGGGAGTAGGAGACATTAAGTATGGCATCAAAAGATGCTACAGCCATTTATCAGATTAGACTAAATGCTAAATATATGGAACATATATATTTGCATGAACAGCATATTTCAAATATGCTGATTCCAAGATTTTGTAGTGTCACCTCCCATTTCACAGAAACTCCCCCAATATACAGTACTATTCAACCAAAAATAGCACTGGAATATTTGCTGCTTCACAGTGAGCTCAGATGGTTCCTCCATCTTCCAAACATTTTCTTTTCTGAATTCCTGACAAATACCCCCAAAACTCCAAGCAAGTTGTTTACCTTTTTGGCTAGATGACCAATGTCATATTTTTAGTGCTAGTATGATGTGCCTGCATGGAACATGCCATCCTCATCTCTCCACAAGGATCTGCATTTTGGAGCACTCCTCCAAAGAAAACACATTTCTTTAACATTTCTTTTGTCCCCTTCACCTGCTGTTAACTTTATGCCTTCTTCCATGCTGCCAACTATTCTTGGAACAGATTGTCTCTGCCTGTGCACTAATTCAATAGCTTGTCTCTAAATCACTTTCTCCAGATCAACATATTTTAACAAGAGAAAAGCCAGTCTTTGTACTCCAAGCATAAAACAGCATATCACATATATCAGTTCTATCTTTTTCTCTGCCACAAGCATTTGTCCTTAGTCAAAACATTTTTGCTAGGTTACTGTAGACAGTGCAGATAGATAGTCATAGGTTCACACTGCTTGCCTTTCAGCTCAGTCAAATGCAAGCCAGCCCTGGTCCAGAGCCTGGCACATACCTCAGTAAGGTGCGATGCCCATCTCCACAGGCTGTATGGAAAGACTGGCACAGCACTGGGCTCAAAGAGCTCCCTGGTGATCAGCGGTATGGTCGCATCAACCTCACTGCTGCCTATACCTGTCACTGTGGATTTCTTTCTAACTTGTCCTAGCTCCTTCACATTCAAAATGAGACTGAAATGAAATGTATTTTAAATATCACTGGTTTAGAGATAACATCTAAGAACAATATAACAATCTTTTGTTCTTCTGTGTTCTCTGAACACAGCTGGTTCCAGCCGGCTCCAACGGACCCACCGCAGGACACTGCTGAGCCCTGCAGAGAAGATGGTGTCACCTCTGGGAAAGTGTATTTAAGAAAGGGCAGAAATGCTGTACAGGCAGAGCAGGAGGGAATAGAGGAGGGAATGCGGGAATAACAAGGTTAGGGGAATGGGAGGTGCTCCATGGCAGAGCAGGTTCTTCCCTGGAGGGACTGCAGCCCATGGAGGACCAGTGAAGGACCAGAGGAAAAGGGTTGAGAAAGAAGGAGCGGCAGAGAGAAACCACAGTGTCCTGACCCCAACCCCCATGCCACTCGCTGCTGCACTGGTGATAATACGGGCGGAGGAGAGGTGTCTGGAGTGAAGTGAGCCTGGGAGTGAAGCTGAGGCTGGAAAAGGAGGAGGAAGGCATTTTGAATATTTGTCTTTTTTTGTTTCCAAACACCCAACTCAGTAATTAAATATTTATGCTAATTGGCAATAAATTAAGTTAAATTCCACAAGTCAAGTATGTTTTGCCCGTGACAGTACTTGGTAAGTGATTTTGCTGTCTTTATTTTGACACATGAGTTTTCTCACTCTTGTTCTTCCTATTTTCTCCCCATCCCACTGTGGGGAGGGGAGTGAGCAAGTGGCTGTGTGAGTGCTTGCTGCCAGTCAGGGCCTACTTACCACATCAATGAAGAAGGCAATACCCCTTGAAAGCATAGCAGCAGAATTCTAAATAATATATTTTAAAATATATACGACATTTCAGACACCTCCATGGGTTAAGAACAGTGGTTTGAGCCATTCCACTAGAGATGGGCTTCCCCTACTGTCTAACCAGCTCTCTTCGTGCTTCAGTGCTATTTTAATTCTCATGTTTTATAAAGAATGCTGCTATTGCTGCACAAGAAGATGCAAAATCCATCCCCTATGTCTTAACCGTAGCAAGTACCATAGGGGAGACAGATATAAAAAGCCGTAAGCACTCATACTTGTTACTAAGCTTGGGAGAGACAATCCTGAACACATAGAGGGCAGGGGTCAGAGTAAAGAAGGATTTTTTTTACCTTGCTGTTTTTCCCCTTAAAGCCACACTTCTGCGGGGTGTTTGTCTAGACCCAGATGGAATATGCAGCAAGCTTTTCACAGAGCAGCAGCTTTCTCTAATGTTATTTTTGTAAATCTCTAGGCATGGATCTTGCTGCAGTCATAATGTGAGTACTGATACTGTGTTATGAAAATAGAGAAACGCTCAGAAAATTTCTAGGCTTGATATACCCCTTTCCAGTCTTCCTCCTCTCTCTAGATAGCACACATAGGGCTTTCTGATATGCACCAACTAATTTTTGCACGTTGCTTATTATGCTATTGAAGAAACAAAAATAACAATAATGAGCCCAAACCTCTGTTCTAGCTGAGCTGTATTCAGCCCAAGAAAAAATAAATGTTGCATAAGAGGGCCCCATGTGTATATATATGCTTTTCTCAGACACTGGAGCAGACAAAGGACAACAGAGGTTCATGGCACAGTTTAAGCAATTTCAAAGGATGCTCGCAGAGGCCAAATTTGGAATGTATTCTTCCTTCCTTCCTTCCTTCAACTCCTTCAATACCTATATATCCCTCTCCCAGGGAGTGCAAGAATGGGTTAATAATGGTTGTTCCACATCACTTCCTTGTACCTGAATGGATTTTACTTTGCTATTGCTGGCAACCCTGATTTTGATCAGTGTTGAGTCAATGCTTTCATCTTGTTCATCAGTGCAATTCAGGGGAAAAAATAAAATGCAGTTATGATGGTGCAAAGAAAAGCGCCACATAGCAGGAAGACTAGATTTATGAGTATATGTTCAGCATCTAATTAAGAAATGCATTGAGACAGAGAAAGACAATTAGTGTAGCTAGATCAATGAGAGATCTAGTCATCTATTGCATGACATGGCCACTTTCAAAGACTTAGAAAGAAAAAGAAAATTGAACTCTATGTTAGAAATATCTCCTCTTAGCAGGGTGGAGAAATTCAATATTCCTTTTTTTAGCTCTATTTGGGCTTTCATTTTTTGTTCTGTTATTTTTTTGTTTTGTTTTCTTCCTCTGCAGTGGAATAAAGCATCCAGATTCCTTCATACTGTTGAGTTTTCAGAACATTTCCCTAGTGATTAGGAATGTAACATCAGCATTTGTAAGGCTAGAGTGGATACTTTGTTGGAATAGATACTGAAAGGTTAAACAGTGACCTTTTAGAACAGGGAGTAGATCTTCGGGCTAGACTTCTATCTGTTTCTAGACTGCAGTTTTCAGTTTCTGCTTAGTTTGGAATAACTGGCTAAGCAGCCTTCCCTTACCCTTCTCGGGTACAATAGCATACACCATTCTCTGCAAGAAATTCTTGCAGAAGCCTCCAAAGCATATTTTGTATTTACCATGATATTTCTTATAGATATTAACACTGTAAAGACTGCAATATTGCAGTCTTTCTAGAGAAAAACATTATTTGTGACTAGCCCAGTAACCAAAGAGCGTTCTCTCAGGTAACTAGACCACAGGGAGTGAATTTTACTCTAGGTGGGATACAAATCCCAGAAGAGTGGAAGGAAAGTAAAAGGAGGAAGACAGAGTAGCTTCCCCCGGGCAAAAATGTGGAAAGAGTGGAAAATGTCTCACCCCTAGAAGTGTCCCTCCATGCCACAGCTCTCCCCCTGGTCCTCCCAGCCTTCTCCAACATTTTGCAGGAGCTGTGACTGCTTACCTGCAAACGTAAAAGGAGGGCAGGGAGCACCTTCAAAAGGAAAGCTCTGGCATACGGTGAAGGGTGCATCAAATACTTTGTCCCATGGCTCAAAACAGTTCTTACTGCCACAATGACATGTGTACATGCCGAGGGAAAATATGAACATGTAAATTACATTAGAGTGATTAATACGATAGCTTGACAGTCTGAAAGGTGAAGGTTGAATATGTAAAGCAACATAACACTAAATTCGCCACCTCCATCCAGACTGTTCGTAACGTTGAAGTAGTATCTCTTAAGTGAAAAAGTAGCACAGTCCTCATGCCTGGGACAAGGCACCATGTACAGATATCCTCATGAAGTAATTTCTATCTATTGCCTTTCAAGATCCATCACCACCCTCACAGTCTCTGATGCTTCCCCCAAGGTTGCCCGCGGGAGTTTTGGAGGATATTCTGAAGAACGCTAACTAGAATGGCTCTATGTATTTTTGGGGAGAGAGGGGGGATCAACAATCATTGTATTATGAGTGATTTTGTGTTGCAGTTGCTGTCTTGCTTTTCCTTTACTCCCTATATTGCAAACTTAAACAATCTTGAGGTTAGGATTTTCTTTGAGATGTAAATCAGGTTTTCAGAGATGGCAACGCCTGCATCAAAACCCTGGCACATAGGATTTGGTATTTCAGCACTGCACTGTCAGGAACACAGAGAACTTTCCACAGCAATATGACCAAAACTTAAGGCAAAAACAAAAGGAGGGTATTCACTATTAGTGCTTAGGAAAGAGTTTAACTTTCAAGTTGATGGTTGAAAAGTTCACATGTTCTTTGGCATTAATCAGCAGCTTCCACTAAAGTATCTTATTTTTTAAGCTTCACACAGAGTACCTAAGAAACCCTAGTGCTCAGTAAATTCTTAATCATACTTTCAGCTCCTGTTTGTCTTGTGTTTCATGAGAGACAATTGCTTGAGACTCACGGGGTTTATTTCCAGTACACTTTACTGCAATTAAATGTTATGTGACTAATACCAATTTTAGCAGGAGGCAGGCAGGTATTGTTTTAGCCTTTAGAATAGTGGTTCCTGAACATTCCAAACCATGAAGAAGGACCGTTTAACTCAATTCCTTAATAAGAAAATTGGGATTCAGGTTCTGCATGGAAATGCAACTCCTTGCCATTGCTTATACTGAGATAATTCTGAATAACCTGGTTTCAAACCAAATGAGAGGTGGCAAAGATTGGGCTTTAATATAGAGAAAGAAATAGTAGTCATGTTTTTTCACCACAGAAAACAGAAAAGAAACAGCGGGCACAAAAGCTGGCAAAAGGACAGACATCATATGTCAGAGAGAATCCCTGATGTACATAAAAAATAGCCAGAGTACATTCAAATTAACAGTGGAAGAAAACCCCTTCCTGAAAACTTATTTCATCATTATTGTTTTTATGTTCTTCTTTAAGGGTGACAAATCATCATCCATGGATTGATCCATCATCCATAGAAGGCTTTGGAAACTCTTCTACTCAGTGTCAATTGCCAAATACTCTCTTACCTTGCACTTAAATCAGTTTTTTAGCCACTAATTGCCTACCACACCTGTCCTTGGTTTGTTAATTAATTCTGTGTTTATTAATTAATTCAAACAAGTACTAAAATATTAGGCACCCTACAAAAAAAAGCTAAAGTAGATGAAGAAAAACCCTGAAGATAACAGAGGATCTTGGGTTCACATACTACAATAGCTTCAGTCTATCCAGTCAGAAAGCAATGTAATGAAAATTGCTTCCCAAATGAAAAATGAACTATTACAATTCACTTTAATACAGATAGATACATGAACAGTGATAAATAAAACCTTTGTATTAATCATGGATTCTGACTAGTTTTTATACAATATTCTGTTTTCAAGAGCTGTAGAATATTATGAGCACTGCAGTTCAGTGACAGGAGTATGACCCCAGTAAGAAGAATTATGGAAGGTTTGAGCCTCTAATAATTTTAAATAATGAAAAGAAAAATAATGAAAAGATATTAAAAGGTCTCACATAAGCAGGCAAAACAGTACAAGATTTCCTCTGAAGTGCCCTGTAGTCAACAGCTACACTGTGCAGTGCCCAACACTCACAGAAAGAGGTGTTACAGTAATACCAGTGATGATTACTTTGGGGGATGGACTTCAATGCATATTGGGTTTCAGTTTTGGTACATTGGAGCTGACTTGAGATTTCCAGATAACACTATACTCTGGATTTAAGCTAGTTTTAAAGTCTGGCTTTCGAATAGTCTTTCCTCCTCTGTTTATACTATCATATTTTTAGCAAGATTGATTTGATTCTAAATTGGAGCAATTATTATCTCTTCCTGGTGTTGACATGTTCTCCCTTCTTAGAGCTGCTGCCTTCTCTTTCTAGCAACCCCAGGAACACACTTTCAACTACCACCAGTTCAACATCTCCTGGGGCTCTCTTTAGAGGTAGACTCACTTCAAGACCTTCATGATCCTTTCTTTGAAGTTGCCTCAGGCTGATGCTATACTTCTTGCAAGCCCTTACAGGCCTAACAGACATTGTTGATAAAACCAAAATGTTTAAAAGATCTTTCAGAGATATCAAGATCTGAATTTAACTGTTCAGGTTAGTATTAACCCTTAAATTATATGCCAATTTGCAAGAGGTTATTGACTTGCAGGATTAAAGAAAGATGTGCTCCACAGCCAGCCCACATAAGCTTTAGACTCTAAACTTATACTCAGCAACAAAGACCAGTGGATAAGAACAAGTCAGCAAAAGGTTTGCTGCACTTAAGTTACTTTCCCTGAAGCAGATTAGCTGTAAGCATCACTAACTGAATTAAATACCCAGTTAGAGGAAATAAAATGCCAAAAGCTGGGATCCATTGATTTCATCATTAATTTTTAGTACTAGCATACTATCTCAGCATTGGGCAGAAAAAGATACTTTCCTGCAGCTCAAATATAATGGAAGGGGAAAGTGATCCAAAGAGTAAACCCAAGATATTCAAGACCACACCACAAGCCAGTGCTTGAACCCAAAATAGAATTCAGAGGCAAATTTGGCTCTGGTGGATGAAGAGTCACTGCATGTAATGAAGTCACAGCCCACACCATTAGTTGTTTAGTTCACCCATAGGATTATCATTTGCCTGTATCTTCTATTGGCACTGGAGCATGAGGACTACTAAAGCAGGTGATGATCAAAAGCAAAAATAAAACTTCCTGCTATCTTTCCATCACCGTAATTAAAGCACCGATTAGAAACATAAAAAAAGATGGGGCCTCCACTATCTCAAGGAGAAAAGTATTTCAGAGACAGGCATTGTAAATTTACCACTCCTGCCTTTCATCCTCCAGTTCAACTTTGTAATAATCTACAGTCACACTTCTGCCGTTGCTAGACATACTACAGTGAAGTGTCCAGATGGCCCTGGGTCTGGACTGCTTTACATCCAAGAAAAGCAATTAGAACAACTCTTGCTAAGAAGGTCATTGAAGTAGTCCAGGCAGGAAGGAGCAGAGAGAGGAATGCATTCATACAGTACAGAGACTAACAGTCCTCTTTGTAACAGATGTGTTACTGATGAACTAGAGGAGAATGCACCCAGAGTTTTCCAACCTGGAGCACACATCTTGACAATGAAGTCCTGGATTTCAGGAGTGCTCATGCATTTTGACTTAAACAGTTGTCAGACAATATTTTTTGAAAGGATTGAAACACGCTTCCTCACCGTGCCCTTTTGTTTTCTGCATAGTGAAACTCCTTTTCAAGAGGATGGAGGGAGGAGTTGTCGTGGTTTAACCCCACGCAGCC